CCCCAAAACCCCAAAACCCCAAAACCCCAAAACCCCTAATAAGCCACCAAGAGTAGAACTTTAAATAATAATACGAAAATTTCGATAAAATGAAGAGCTTTCACCACTTTACATTTGAATACGACCAGTTGTTCCCCCAGTGGGACTTCACCATCGACCAGGTAGTCTTAATAGGTTTATATGTAGGCTGAATTACTCAGGTTTAGTGAGAAATACGGCACTGTGGAGTGTGAGATAGATGATAATGATCCCCAGCAGAAGATGTTAAAGTGAGCGTCTCTTGGGAATGATGCTTGTTTGAAAATTAATGAGCCTGAAATTGGAAAATCATATTGTTTAAGGAAAACTCCGAAGAGGAGGGTACAGTCCTTCCTAGGGGAATCTTCTCTGAAGTTGAGGCATACTCTAGACCCATCCCTCTTCAGTTCTGCTAGGGGGAAGTATTCTCAAAGGAAAGATATTGTGCTCAAAAGTATTTTAAGAGCTATTCGAAGATTTTATGTTAATATTTTCAGAGCTAGATATCCTTCTTTATTCATTTGAAGAGTTGTATATATTTCAGAGTCCCAAATTAAAGAAGCTGTTCAAGAGATGTGAATTGAGTTATTCACAGCAGAGGTCAAAGAAAAGTACCACCTAAATGTTTTTATGCAAACCTTACTTGACTTCAAGCCACCAGTTTATAAAGAAGAGCACCATGTGGTTATCAAAAGAGCGAATCAGATACTTAAATGTTGAAAGAGTTTTAGCACTAATACATTTAATAAATTTTGTGATGACCCATGATTCAGGAAAATTTGTCAGAAAATCCTCATTAGCTTTGAGGAAGAATTCCTAGCCACTCTTAAAAACAAAGAGCAGAACCTGGAAAGATACAAAGCAGTCCTTTGCAGCTTTTGTGAATAATTAACTTTGCACTAAAAATGTTGAAAAACTTTCCAAGCTTTATAGCTTAGAACTCAATCATGAAATTATTAATAATACTTTTTTGAGGCTTCTCCAGGTTTGGATACCCCAATGACCTAGAACTTGTTGAACTTTGCCTGAACAACCGACAAAGAATAATTCAAACTTCATATTTTTATAAAGGTTATACTAGGAGCTCAATATATTTTTGGGATACGCAATAAATTTACAAATTTAGGATTTCTTAAAAACCTCAAAATTTGCAGAGAGAGGTGGGAATAATTTTAATTTTCCCAATAGACCAAATTTGATATTGTGATGGGAAATTTCACTTTTTTTTTACTTTTTATAATAAAATCATTATTAAATTTACTCCTAGATTAAGAGGTTGCATTAAACTTCTAATTCTGGGCAAGAAGGTAGCACAGAGTCTTGAGATATATAGATCTGCATCTAAAAATACTGATATTCCTAGAAAGGTCCCACGCTCTGATGCATCCTTGTTCGGGCATGAAAAGCCCTTCGCAGTACGAATAGGATATAAGAATTTAATAATTTTCAATAGAACTTTTGAGTAAAGGGGTTTTGGGGTTTTGGGGTTTTGGGGTTTTGGGG